CCGATTGTCCAAAGCGGAGCCAGCGAAACTTTCAGGGTCAAGTTTGATTTCCGTGGCGTTCGGGCACTCGTTCGCGCCGCGGCGCGATAATCTTCACGCTTCGCGCGGGAATCCGCGCGAGTCCGCGTCGCTCCATTTCGCTGATGCGCGGCTGACCACAGTTTTCCCGTTTTCTTCCATTCGTACTTCATGCAGCGCGTGACTATCGTCGCTGCCCGATTGATCTCCTTCTCTCCCACTACTTCCTGCAATTTCAGCAAAAATCAAACGAAACGCTCGCTCGCGGTCCCGTTATTGTGAAATTAAGACGATCTATAAACGACTTTCGGATCAGCGAGAAGAGCCGCAATCGTCGTTCATTTTCCCGGCTTGCTTTCGCGGTCTGCGCGAGTGAAACCGTCTCGCGCGAAAACGATAAAGATTCGATATCTAACGAGCGTTGCGATTACACGCGTTCGGCCGCGTGCCGACGCGACGTTAATTACGCGCGCGGCGCGTTCGAGCGAGTCGACGTCACGCGACGCTGACGCAGGGCCTATTTCACCGTCGCTTGTTTTTTTTTTTTTTTCGAGTACGCTTTCTAAGTGGACCAAAGAAATCAAGTTTGTCGGCGACGGAAGTGGGTTACGAGCGCGCGGCGCCTTGCAAGACGCGCGATTAATTAACCGAAAAAAAAAGAAAAAAAAACAGCGCGCTCGCAATGGCACGTGCGAGGTGCGTATGGCGCCGCGGCTCGCGAAACACCGTCGGCATTTCGCAGCGGATCGATATTCCATCTTGAAATAGCGAATTGAATTCAGACGCAATGCACGTCACGAAACGAAATTTATCCCAAAGCAATCCAGAGCGAATTTTTCGCAATTCACGTCGATTGTTTTCCCGCGGTGGTGCCAAAACAACATTTGGCGAGCGAAATGAAAAATGTCGCATGAAAGGTAAATTTTTACATCCTGCGTAGAAATTATTACATATTAAAATGCGTTTCCAAACATTATCTGCGACATTTCGGAGGATTTAAATAGCTAAAAATGCTTCTGGAACAATTGCAAATTTTTTGGAAGCCTCTAAACGATGAAAAAAGAGTTTAATAATAATCGCATGTCGCAATTATATGTTGATGTATGAATTAAAGGAACTTTTTACAATTAATGTCTTTCTTATTGATAATGTCATAGAAATTATGTACACTGAAAAAAGGATTTAGTAGTAGATACTAGGATTTAATAACAATTACTAAATGATTTGGGTAAATAGTGCTAAGTAAATGCTTGGTAACAATTACAAAAAGAATTAATTGAGTGAATAAAATATTTATTTCAGAGAATCTAAATTTAATTCATTCAATTACAAATTTGGTTTCTCCAATAAAACTTTGATAACTGTAATTAAATTTCGATAGCAGAAAATAAAATATTTGATAAGTATTATCAAATATTTGGTAATTATCATCAAATCGTAACAAGAAATTAAACAATATGGTAACTGTTACTAAATTATATATACGCTGTATAGTATTTGCAGACATGTCGGCATTAATCAACCAACAAGCGTTACTGGCAAAAAATTTGCTAATAATTACCAATTATTTTATCAAACATGTTGGCTGAACTAAATGATTTAGTAATAATTATCAAATATTTAATTGCAATCATCAAAGATTTTTTGGCAGGTATTAAATATTTAATAATTACTAAATTGTTTAATTGACTCAATTATGAACAAAATTTGCTTTTAACAGGATTAATTGAAGGTTTAGTAAGTATTATCAAATATTTCATTAAAATTCGCAACTAAATGTATTTAATAACTATTACCAATCAGTTTTTTCAGTGTACAAATACTTACCTGCGATTAATACCATCTATATCGTCAACAAAAAGATATGTAAAACTTAAAAAAAAACATATAAAAAATTATTACGATATTACAATTAATACTTTTAATAGGCTCGATTAGTTTATTCTTGTTTTTAACCGTTTCTTCCGTTTCTTCTCGCATTACGATGATTACGACAACGACAGTAATAATCATAATAATAATTGGAATAATAATCATAAGCGTTGTAAAATGGCTTCTGCCGTCCAATTAAAATCCATTTTAAGAGAACACTGAGGTATCTTTATTATTTCGTATTTTTGTAGAATGTTTAAGTCCCATTCGATCACAATGGACGCGAGCTACTTTGAGCGAGCATTACAATCGCACTTTACAATCGCACTCTCAATAATCGTAAAACTTGCGTACGTAAACAGAGCCGTGCAACTGAAGTAGACGTGTTAACTCGTCTTTGAAACTGCGATCGCAAGCTGCAATAATTTGCAGAGAAATCGAGTAACGTGATCGCAGAATGCTTCGATTTTCCCGTAAACATTGCAGCCGAACTAGAGTCGCGGATGGGAACAACTTTTTCGGTCAAATAACGTTTTAGTCATTTTCCATCGAGTGGAAACACAACGGCGATCATAACGTCAATGCTTTTCCGCCGCGATCTGGAGATTTCTCGTACGTCTCTTGTAATGTAACTCCACGCCTGAGGGCGAATATCGAGTTTCGTCCTGTCAGCAATCCGATACTGAACGTTCGATACCGAAATAACGATCGAGCCGCGACTTCGTACTCAATGACGAGAAATAGCGAGCGGCGGATTTTTACGATGGATATTCGCTTCTGTTTTTTTTTCGCACAACTGTTCGCATTTTGTGCGACCCGAATAAAATTTTAACGATCCCCCGATGGAGAGACAAGCGACAATAATCGATAAATCAATTAATCAATAAATGATTAGCAAGATATTTTTAAACTGTTAAAACGCAATTTTATTGATTTAACATTTATTGATTTAGCGGAACTTTGAAATAAAAGAGCGATGCGTATAGATAAATTAATTTAAATTGCATTTGTGAAAAAATATATTTCAAGCTATAATAAATAACGTATAATAGATCAAAGCACAAGTACACACGTTGCAATAATGAATATAAAGCGAAAAGCAATATAGAGAGAGACAAAAAAAATAATTAAAATCGGCTAAAAAAATTTAAAAAAAAGATTACAAAACAAATATTAAAAAAAAAACACAAACAAGCAATTTTGCAGTTTTGCACAAAGCAGTAATAAATTCAGGAAGCCAAAGTAAAATCTGCTGTGTGTATTTTCATCTAATCATATCTTTTTGTTAATGATAATTATTCTGCAACATTGTGTGAACATTTGCTTCGATTTTTAGCGCCGTGCATATCAAGTTTCTTTTCTGTCCAAAAAATTAAAACTTTAATTACACAATAACACATCGTACAATATGCAATAATCATTGTATTCTCCTATACAACTCGTTACAATATACTATATGTTATATAATAATAATAATGAGTACCATACACTCAAATATATATATACACATATATATATATATGTATACACATGTATATATACATATACATATATATATATAACAATTTTAGCGAATGACGATACTCATCTTCGTGAGACATCGGCGCGTCGGCCGAGAGACGGGATCGACGTCTTTATAAACATCTCTCGCTACGATAAACTATGTGAAATTCAAATGCAAAATCCGGTGAGAACGTGCAACCACTCACGCGATGAGAGACACGAACGAGACTGGTTTAAATAAACATGTTCCGCGATTCCTATCGTAGATTCTGTATCTCTTTATATCTCTATATTTATTCATATATCTCTATATTTATTGATTCACTCATATATATAATTTCTCCTTCTGCATCTCTTCTTTTTTTCTTTTTCCTTAATCCTCCTCTCTGAAAATCTCTAAGCTAGATATATTATAAGATCTAGTTTATACGATAGATTTAATTTAACTATGTGTACTCAACAAGCCAGTCTAGCTTCGACGACCGTCACGGCGCGTAAGGGAACGCTTTGAACACTCGGAAATGATCCGTCCTTGGCGTTGGGAAACATCTCGATTAATGCGAGACCGCATTGGTTGGGAATGAATCTCGAGCGCGCATCTCCAAAGCACTTATCGCTAATGATCCCACTCGATCGGCGTTTCGACGTTCGGCGTGACGTGTGTTGGTCTACGCGCGAAGGGTGGTGTCTGTGTGTACGTGTGTATGTGGCCCTCTTATATTATATCTAATAATCTTTAGGCAATATATTCTACCTATTGGCGATAAGTACATTGATGTACGAGCTGTCTCGAATCGATATCCGCGCGCAAGCTATGTCGGAATCGCGGAGAGCACCTCCGCGGCTTAAGAATAGCGATTTTTGTACCATCTTGTTCACACATGCGTATAATTTATTAGAAATTAAAATGTACATAATAAATAAATATATATTTATTAAGCTACTACTCTCTCCCTCTCTCTCTCTCTCTAAGATATAAAATCTCATTTGCCAATTTTATCAAACGGATTTTGTAGCTGACGTTGCATCTAATATTGTGCAAGTTGAATCTTGCGCGAGTTCACGTTGAAGAAAATCGATTTGGACCGTGCATGTTCCCGTGAAAATTAATAGGCGCGTTATTTTTTGACACAGCTCGCAGCATCGTCCACGTGCTCCTTACTAATATTGAAAAATACAATGTACGAGACAATAACGTTACGTTGGCTATACGGGAGCGGCCGCGAGGCGAGCGAAAGCGATAATTAAGGCGAGAAACGCCAAAACGCCGACCTTGGACGGGAGTCTTATCGTAAAAAAAAAAAAAAAAAAAAAAAAAAAAAAAAA